ACAAAGTTTCAAAGGTTTCGTAAACTCTGAACATATTGAAAAGCAGAAGGATCGCAATCTTCGATTGTTTATTGAAGAAGCAATCATTCATATAAGCATGTATTCATTCGAATCGCAATATGGCACAGATCTCAATCACTCGCGCTTCACTCTTTTTCGCTCGAGGCGTACAAAGGGGAAACTCAACGTGCCGGCCATCAAGTTAAAAGATCATGCACCTCCCGATCTCGGATGATCGGCACACGAGGATTTGGGCGCGGTCACACCCCTTTCCTCTTGCGCCTTGTAATGACTGAAGTCTTAAGCTCGTCATGCCAAGCGAAGGCTTCCACGCAAGTGGCCTTCATCAACTTGAGCGCCAAAGCAAAGTCATCTCTGGAAGGGCCATGCGCAATATTGCTAATTGACGGTACACGGTCAATCCAATACAGGGACGGAAACTTTAGATCAGGAAGGTCGAACAACTGGACTAAGTTGTTCATCCCGTCACTTCCACTTCCACCCTTCAGAATGGCATACCGAGCGGCGTCATTGTCGACGAACATGATCACTCGCCTGTTCAGGAATTGATCTTGGAACATCCATCTTACCGCCACTAGAACGAGCAACTCAATGTGGCATATAAGTTGAGGCTCGCCATCCCGAGCATCGAAGTCCTCCTTCCACGACTCAATCGCCCAAGCTGGAGCCACACCTCCTAGAACATGTCCACGCTGTTTCAAGGGATCCCAGATGCAAGCACCAATACCCGCGTGACCCGCTTCCCATGATCCATCGGTCCACACAAGTATTGATTCACAAGCAAAGTTGCACGACAGAACTCTGGGCGGCATTGACTCCAGCACATGCTTCACTCGTGTCGAAAGTTTTTGGAGCCGCTGGAAGGCGACAGGGCCTCGCCATTCAAGCAACTCCAGGAGATCATAACACAAGTGTTTCAGCACCCTTCCGGAGTAAAACCCCGCAGCAAAGTTCAACAGCCCATGAAGGACCTGTATCTGGTGGCGGGTGATAGCTTCCGGTTCAGAGACTTTGTCAAACTCACCCAAGATCTTCTCCACCCGTCCGGGGGGACAAGTCCAAAGTAAGTCCTAATACATCAAAGGACGAAGAACACGGCTTACCTTTTTCGCCTGTGACGGCGTGAGACCACCCCAGCATAGTGAAGAATTGACTTATGCATTCATCTGCCTCCTGGGCCCCCTCTTCTGGCGCGAAGAGAGGGTAGTCGTCGAAATAGCAAGCTGATGGGACCTTCAGGTATTTGTTCGCCAGAAACCAGAGACAACGACTAATCCTAATGAACCCAAAAACGGCGGCTGTGGCGCCGAACATCAGCGCATTGGGGAGGAAATTTTTTTCCTCTCCCCCTGGTCCTCTGAAGTAGGTTATGCATAGATCTCGTTGATCCGGGTGCAATGCTACCTGCTTGTAGGCCTTGGTTAAGTCCAGGCATTTGCCCAGCCATGCACCGGACCCGTGCTTTTGGTCTTTGGCCTTCTTGGCGATTAGAAGGGCCAGCGACGCTACGTAGTCAGCATTGTGAAGCTCCAATCGGATGGTAGCACTATAGGCGGCATTGGTTTGCGACTGGCAGGCATCATCAATAGGCCGGTGTTTCGACCCTTGATCCAGCAAGAACCTTCTTATGACGCACCACTGGTCGCGTCCCACCAAATTTGAGATCTCATCAGCCGTGTACGGTCCGTCTAGGAAGCCCAGGTCGACTTCCTCCTGCGTGACCTTGAACAAGAGTTGAGCCTTGGCGGCATCACCAGGTGCATCATCGCCAACAATGGCTTCCCGTCGCTCCTTGGCTGTATCCCGCAGGTCTCGCTCAGTTAGCGTAGCAGCCTTCACCTTCTTGTCAAAGCCAGGAGGAGGGGGTTCAGACCCCATAACATGCACACCCTCGGTCAAGAACTTGATTGCTTCCAGGTCATCATAACCTTCTTGTTCAAGCAAGGCCTTAAGGGCTAAAATCTTTTTGCCACGCATCACCTTAGCCACGGAAGGATGCATCTTGCTGTGGAGGTCCGCCTCCTCTCTTTCACCCTTTTTGATCAACAGCTGTAACTCAAGCAAGGCCAGCTTCCTATGCAAAGTCACTTGTTGCGGAGAAGATCTCACCAGGAAGTCGATTGCTTCCACCGTGACAGCTGCCACAGGATTGTGGGTATCGAAAGGGTGCTTCAAAGCTTGCGCCTTTTCCACGAAAGCAGAAGGAGTGTGATACACACCAACCTTAACGAAACCCTTATTAGGGGGGGGCCTACTAGAACCCTCAGGGGACCCCTGGGTCTCGGCAACGTGTTCTCTGGATTCGCAGTCTCCCGCACACTCCCCATGGAACGAGACTTCGCGAAGGACACGCATGCCTTTGTCAACCTGAGAAGCAGGCAGTTGGAGCACCTGAGCAAATTCAGGAATCAGGGCGGCGTGTTTGCGAGTCTGACGCGACACAGCGGCAGATGACACGACTGAGAGGGCTGGCTCCCAACGGACGGCCGGAAGCTTAAGCTGTACATGAAGCAGCAAGCAGCGAGCCATGCGAGCAGCCAGAAGAGGAGGATAGGCTGCCTCCTGGGCGGTGGCAAAATGCCAACGACCCCCTTTGGCCCTGACTGACCAGGGCTCATGTTGGTGCTGCCCATCACACTGGGCGTTGAGGGTGTCAAAAACTCCAGCGGTACACAGCAACTTGGTTTGCTTGGGGCGGCTGCCCCCGTGCATGCAAGAGTGAAAAACGACGGACTGCAGGCGGTTGAAGCTGGCACAATCAGAGCTGCAATTCCTCTGGCGCAGGAGCTCAACGAGGACTGCCCAAGCCCAAGATCTGGCCGGATTTTCAATGGACACTACAATGTTATGACGGATGCAAAACAAGGCAATGTCAAGGGAAAGCTCATAAAGCTGGTTAGCCTTGGCAACTCGAAGCTCGTCAAGAGATCCAGGAGACAAACTCGGCAGGCCCAAAGGATGCAAAGCGTCGCGCAAAGGTTGGGGCTCTGGGGCCCCAGCCGCCACAATATTGGCTGGAAGGCGCTTCTCACGAGCCCGCGAAGCGGTGCCACAAGGAACCCCAACATGGATAGCTTCAGGCTGCAGCTTAGCCACAAGATCCCAGAAAATTTTAAGGCCCGACGGCGAAGTTAAATCCAAAGGTGCAATGGGTACCTGGGCACCTCTAACACAAATGTCTATGGCGAGCACACGAAAGCCAGCCCTGACCCAAGCTTTAGACAGCACTGCGGACCCCGCAAAAACCTCTATGGCCCAGGGGCGGCCATCCCTGATGGGTCGTGGAACGGTTGCCGCAGAAGGCAACTCAAACCCCAAGTCACGTAAGAATTTAACGTCCGCGGCAGACAAACCCTGAGTGGGCACGCTGTAAGCCACCAGAACCTGCCGGCATCCTTTCCAAGCCTGGGTCCAATGCCGCTGGGATTGAGCATCAAAGACGAGGACATGATTTTGAAAAGGAATCACCCGGCCATGGATGACCTTTCCTTGGAAGCAGGCACGCTCTGGACCATCAGGGTCCTCGACAACCAAGCCACCCTGTTCAAAATCCGTAATGACGTAATGGCAACTACAGCGTTCAAGCTGCCTGGCAAGTTGTGGCGATCGACATGCACATCGGCTTCAATCTGAGAGAAGAGAGCAATGGATGTGAAACTATGGCACGGCAAGAAATGATTCAGAACTGAAATGGCGGCCCTGACGCAATGCGGATAGGTTCGAGTGGTTCCACACACACCCGATTGCCCCGCAAAGATATAGGCTCCAGGCACAAAAGATTTGGAAAACTCACCCCCTTGGCGGCCCTTGGAATCAGGAAGAGCCTCAAAGATCCGCCCCAATTGAGTACGGGAAACAGGCCCTGACTTGAGGCACTCCACGGCGAGAGCCTCGGCGTCATCAAATGTCCTGGTACCGCCGACGGTGGCAGTAGAAAAATCTTGCCCTTGCACAAAGACTGGCACGACCCGAGCAAGAGAAGCCGTGCCGGGATCCTGTCAATCGGAATGCGTACACTCAAAGTAGGGCTTCGCACGACCGCATCCAGCTTTCCAGCATATGTGCAATCCTCGCTGGCATCGGCCAGCTTTGCCCTTCCATCGGCATGTGCCGCGGTTGAATCCATAACAGATGGGCTTATTGGCGGCATTTCTAGACACACAGCCTTCAGGAATGTCAGGTTTGGACGGAGCCTCACCGGTGCCCTTTCCGGTCTTCCCTTTACCGTCCTTGCCTTCTTTGCCTTTCTTTCCCTTACCCTTCCAAGCATTGCTATCCCAACCGGCAGGAGGGTCAGGCGGGCGTGGGACAGGCTGCAGAAACTGAGTGACCTGCGGAGAGTGCATCAATTCCTGAATGACGTCATCGAGCGGCTTGGGCTGTCCAGCTGGAGCAGCAAGCCGACCCATCAACTTCTCAGAGGCATACATGAAGAGAGCACGGTCAGCTTGAATTAGCTGATTGACGCTTATGGGCGACATTCCTTTAGGCACCTCACGCGCCTGGCACGAGAACAAATGTTGCACCCATTTCTCGATCTCAATATATGAGCACACACCCGCCAGATCCATGGCAAGAGATCGGCGGTTCCACGCCGCGCGGAGTCTAGCATCAGAGGAGGTTTCACAACGAAGGTCATTGGGCTTCGAATTGATTCGCATACGGCCATCTTGGTCGACGTTGATGGTCTTATCCTTCTTCACTGCCATCATTTCCTGGGCCCGTGACACACAACGTTCAGGCCCTACGTATTGCAGAATCTCGGACTCCAATTGGTCCACAAAGAGATCCACGGGGCCATTAGCCGGGATAGTCTCCGGAGTGAAGACCACTCCTGCAAGACGAGCCTGCTGCGCCTGTGCACGGGCCGCACGCTCCGCTGCGGGAAGCTTACGCACTACATTATCGGCCGGAGGCTCCACACGAGTGTGCAAATCGGCAATATTCAAACTGTTGGCCTCGAACAGCAACCTTCTAAGGCAGGACACCTGATATGGAGAAGGGGCTGTGCTGAAGACGTTACGGACCCACAAGTCCACGGCAGTATCATCAAGCTGCGTTGGATTGGCAGACACCGCAAAGCACAACTTGCCAAATGTGGTAAATCCCGCAGTAAGAAGCTCTTGCAGCACTGGCGAAGAAATCCCCACCTTCAAGGCACGTTCCTTAAAGGATGCCTCTGAGTCCAAGGATGCGGCAGCCATGTAGCTCAGCTAGTGGCCTTCCTACTCGCTTGGACAGTCTAGACGCAAACCACCTCAGGAAGGGTCATGAAACTGCGATGTTCAGAAAGGAAACGTATATCAGTCTAGGTCCTCAGGAGCCTACCACCTCAGGAAAGTACCAGATCTGACAATGTTTAGAACAGACGAGCAAAATCCTGTGAGCTCTCGGCTGCATGCGACGCATGTGGACCAGCTGCAATCCAAGTTCCACTGACAATCACTGCACGAAGCAGGCACCCCTCGCGTCACAGAGATCCTCCCCCGCCGCTGACATTGACCGCACTCGGCTGTCGCGATTCCATCCCGAGCTCCTTTTTCAAGACTCAAGCTCACGAAGTTTCAAGGCACCGGTTGCACTGATGGCAACACTCCGGGTTGACGCCTGCGATCCCTGCCTCTCTAGCCGCAACAAAATTTGAGGACAGGAAACGACCGCACAGCAACGAATGCTCATCTCTCATGACATGCGTTACGCCAGAAATCTTATGCGTCCAGCATGAACTGAGATCCACCCCTTTGAAAGGTGATCTGACTCTCACAGCTCCTGGCACCTGGAGGTCCTCAGTCGGCTCTTCGGATCCCGAACTCAAGCTACTCACCTCAGAATCAGCGGCCTCTGGTTCTGGCTCTTCTCGGGGCTCACGTCGAGACGAATCCCTAGAAGCCTCAAGATCATCCTCACAAGGTTCAACCCGAGAAACTCGCTGTGCAATGGATTTCATCCTCATCACAGCACTCATATCAGGATCAAAAAGGCCAGAAGGAACTGTGGCATACATCCCAAGGACCTTTCCGCACAAAGCCACATACGCGTCCTTGCTGTAGACCACCACCGATTTGTTCTCCTGATCCAGATGATGTCCTAAGAGACGTCGTTCAGGATGAGTGAAGGTGACTGGGTGGGATTTCCCCGCCCAACTTAGCAAGGTCCTCTTCATAGAATGAGTCCCCAACTCTCGCAGCTCTCCGTAGCTCGAATCCATGCTTTGAAAAAACTCGCGGAGGTAAATGCTGGCTTCCGACGCTGACATTCGTTGCGAACCCCAGCAACCTCTCCTTTCACAAAACGTGGGCAGAAAAGGATCCACATCAGTCAAGCCTTCGGCAGCGCGTGCATCAACCCAAGCTTTTGCCCAGGGCAGGCCTGACACGCCCAACCCCACTCCCACGTAAGGTAGCAGAGTGGTTTTGGCCCTAGCGGTCAAGGTCGTCTTTGAAATCAGGGCCTCACCGTAAATCAGGCTTCACCTGACTCCTCTGCCACCTCCAGCTCGAGGTGACGAAGGGTTTGCGAGTCTCTCCACCTTGACCCCGAATGCATACACCACAACAGCTGTCCCGAGATGCAGGCATGCCTCGAGGAAGCACGCGTGGTGAAAAGCTCAAGATGTTCTACCTGCTTCCTGGTTAGGGCCTTCTTTTGCTTCAGCGGAGCCTTGGTCATATGCATTTCCTGAGCAACGCCACGGCACCTGGCAGACATCACCTCCTCGACCTCAATCTGAACCAGACTCACCACCGAGTCTAAGAAGCGTAGAGCTTCAATCAAATGACTTCCTGATGTAGCCCCGGCGGATTTCTGAAGAACACACAGGTAGCGATACAAATGCACCTCTTCAAACCTCAAGGGAGATGCTCCCTCGCGCATGCACCAGCTTGCAAACTTACACAATGATCCAGCCCTCTTGTGGATGGTGCTGGCAGCCTTGGACGCGAAGGCGTGGGAGAATGAAGAAGAAATTTCCTCTTCTGTGGCCAAATGTTCGACATCACTTGCCAAACTTCTTCCTAGCTTTGAAGCCAACGGGTCCAACATGACTAAGGTTCGGATTCGAGCGAGGGCGTGCACCCTCAAGTCCTCATCCGACCGTTCAACTCTAAAGTGGCGAAGCCTAGATTCGACCACCCACGCCAGCACAGGCTCTGGCTCTCTGACACCCAACGGCAAGTTGAGTGGTGGATTAAGCACATCAGCTAACCCGACTGAGGGCCTAGCCCTATCCAAAAAACTAGCCGCAGACCCAACCCCAGGCATCTTCAAGGCAAAAGGTCCGGACTTCCAAGGTTGCGCTGGGACACTCAAGCGCCTCCGTTTCACATCAAACAAAACTGCATCCACCTGCCAGGCATTCTGCTGAGGGTCAGCTGAACCAGGGCCTTGGAACCTCACTGGAGAAAGCATAGGCAGAGGCTCCAACGTTGGCAAGCTGACGTCACACGGTCGGTCAGCAGGCACAGGCAACTCATTGTCAGGACCGTCACCTAAGTCAGAGGGCTCTGCAGCCCAAAGATGCTCAGGCTCATCTGATAGATCAGCCACACTCTGGTACCAATTAACCTCTTCATCAAGAAAGTCAAAGCGGTTCTCAGGCTCAAGTTCTGAACTATCACGAAGTAAGTCAAAAATCCCACGGCGCTCCCCCGAGAATTCAGAGGCAGACTCGGGTCCTTGCTCTGGATCTGGTCCGGAAATGGACATCTCATCAGGCTCTCCCCTTAAAAGAGATGAGAAGCCGGACATGGCAAGTAATGGCAATCAGTTCTCAAGAGAATAATCTTCCGAATCACTGAACCCTGCAGGGCAACGCCAAAGCAAGCTATGCTGTCTGCGAAGGCAAACACAGGTCACGCGCAAAACTCGAGCGCGATGTGTTCGCAAGCAATCTACGATGGCTTGCCAAATCACTGGCACATGAACAAGCAAGAGCACAGAAATGGTTGAGGAGGCCTCCGCAAGCGGGCGACGGCGCGCAGGCAACTGCCGCCGATTTACTTGATTGTACCGAAGGCAAATGACACGGTCGCGGTCCATCCGAGCCCCTGCGGGGCTCTTGCACGGTGCTCTAAGAGCAACACCGAATACGGAGGACTCGGGCCTTCTAGAAGCAGATTACAAGCCTCTAGAGAGCCCAAAGAATTTTCTCTGCCCTTGATGGCCGACTGCAACGGACATGAATTGTTCAATCAATGCTATGCACATGAAAACAAACAAAGAAAATTCTTCATGCAATAAAATCATGCAAAAACGAAACCCTTCTCATTTCCCATGAGAATGTTTGAGACTTGGTGGAAAGGTTTAGTCCGCACGCGGAAAACTGACATCCTATCATCATGTGATGCTTGGATTGGTGCACATACGCCATGAGGTGGTGCAATAGAGCATCCTCCTTCTTAGTCCATCTTGTAATTCTGCGAGCAAGGTTATTGACATTGATGCTGCGCAGCAAGTCGAAGCGACAAATGCGAGCGGCATAGAGCAGTTTCATCAGTATACTCGCTGCCTGAGGGGCAAGTGCGCCTCGAGTTTCGTCGGTGACTTCCTCTTCCACTGGCGCCTTGGGAATAGGTGGAGGCGGGATAAGCCGACCATCCGTGTCAACCGGCATTGTGTGTCCACACCACGTGCATCGATGACTTTTACCAGCCTGCGCCGGTGCCCTAGCGGGATGATGTTTGGTTTCTTCCGCCGGGCTGGGCGATGGCACCGTCTTGAATTTGCTCGAGTCGAACCTTGTGACATCACAGTACTTCTTGGCCGTCATCTCAAGGTAAGTCTCCATGTCGTAGGTAACAGTTTGCACCTTCGTCTTGTCATGCGATGTTGCCTCGCCTTTGGAGATCCGGCATCCTAGGTAGAGACCCAAAGGTGTTTCCTCCTCCAAGCGTAGTTCCTGGCGCAACATATTCCATCCCTTCGGCAAGTTAGCCACCTGGCCTGCCATTTTCAGATCATCCACATAGATCACAAGAAGAAGTTTCAGATCCGGATGGAAGTATAATGAAGGCCATTCATCACCGAGAGGCTTGAATCCTGCCTTTTGTACTGCAGTATGACAGTGTTGCTCCCACACGGTGCCAGCGTCCGGATGTCCATATGGCGCTTTACCCATGGCATCCGTCAGCAAATCGCCATAAATTTCGCCGACCAGTCGACAGACCGGTCGGCGAAATTTATGGCGATTTGCTGACGGATGCCATGCTTCATCGGGTAGCTCGACCCAACAGGGCACACCCGACAATTTGGCTTGGATGTAAGCTTGAATAGCATCAGCCATCTGCACATCGTTCCCAGGAAGGCATCCATAATAGTCAGCCCATCTCGATGCGTCGAATGTCGCAGGAGAATTCCCTAGGTCTTGGAACAATGCAGCTTCCATGTTTTGATCTTTAACTTGATCGCCAAGTAGAACGCCACGACCTTTGAACTTCCTCGCCGGGTCATCATCTTTGAGCTGATAGTTCTTTTCATAGATAAGGCCATGCACACGTGCCATGTGCATTTTCTCACCTTTCTTCTTAGCTTCTGCCACGACATCATCGTACTCGCGGGTGGTGGTGAAGTCGAACACGTCTTGATCCCAGAGTCCTTTCCACTCCTTAATGAAAGCTTCCCTGGCCTTGGGATTGCTCAACATCTCTTTGCGAGAAACGGGTCGTGTAACCATGGCGTTGAAACATGACTTGATCGCCGGATTCTTCTCCCTATGTTCCGTAGGAACAGATGTAGTGCACGGCATTGACGGCACCCAATCTTCGTTGAAGACCAAGTGTGATGGCACGGCAGGGATGACGTCTGCCAAGAACGCATCCTGGGCATAGGCATTCGACACTTCTTGTGCCCATTCCCATCCATCATCCTGATTGCGAACATTTAGTTGCAAGTCGATCTTATCGCACTGAACAATCTTCGGGAAGATCATCTTGTCCAACACTTGATTGATCACCTTACATGCCATCGCGGCTTTCTTCCTATCTTTCTTAGCAGCACGGGCCTTGTCCCGTTTGTCTTTCTTGTAGGCTGCTTTCTTCTCGGCTTCTCCCAACTTCTTCCATGCTTCTGGCGTGTACTTTTCGATGGGTCGCCTCGTAGGAAGACTTCGTCTGCCGTCACTGCGAATCTTGTAGGGAACTCCTCGTCGGTCGATTTTACATGCTTCTCCGTCATCGGTCAAGTATACCTTACTGTCTCCTCCAGCGCCCTTACTCCAATGATCAATGTCCATAGGAGCCAGCTTTTGCTCTTTCAAGATCTTGATGATAGTACCAGGATCCTCCTCATCACCCTCAGGTATGAGTTTTCCTGTGGGTCCGACTCCATCAAGTGGGCGCCGGCCTTCAGGTTCCCCAACAGGAGGTTCAGCTGGTGGAGGCAAAGGTGGTAACGGAGGCAAACCTGCAGCTTCACGTCCTTCACGTTCAGCTCTTTCAAGTATAGCATCGCCAATAGTATCAATAGGTTGATTTTCGTATATCCCGCCAAATCCATCTTCACCTTCATCTTCAGACGGTTCGATGTCTGCGAGATCATCAACTTCTCCAGGATCGGGAGGAGGACTTTCATCGTCCAGTTCGTTCCCCCCATTTCCGTCACTCGGTTTTCCTGGATCATCGCCATCATCACCGTCGATGTCTTTGATCTCCTTCCCGCCGAGATCAACAATGTCTCTGAGACCCTCAATTGTCTCATTCATCCTTTTGTATTCAGCTTTGAGCGGAAACACGATCTCCTCAGGGAAGTAGACAACTTCGGTCTGATATGGCTGCATGAGCTTTCGTGGTACTGCCGCATCCATGGACAGATTCACGTTGGCAAACTCCTTCATATCCCACACTCGGTACTTCCGTGACCAACTCTGACCTGTGGTGATGACGTATCCGGCAAAAACACCAGGTATCCCCTTTGGGTCAAACTTGCGGTCGTAAGTCTTCTCGCGAGTGTCAGTGGGCTTGAAGAACACTTTAGCACCAAATGGTATGGCTTTACCCTTGAAATCACCACCTGACATTCTCTTCCATGCTGAATCGCCGTCCCCAAGGACATCTTCGATGCTCATGTTGTGGACAACGCAGTTCATGGCATATGGCCAATACTGTGCGGGAGTTCCAGCATGCAAAAGCGCCGTAGCAACGGTATTGATGATCTCTTGGTTGGTCCTTTCAGCGAGAGAATTGTTGTTGGGTTTCCCTGGCAGAGAATGGTCAAGCGGGATCTTCAACTCCCTTATGGCTGCATCGAACTCTGATGTGACATCGCTGTAGGCCATCTTGACTGTGCGTCTCCCGATGAGTCTCTTCAACGCGTTGACTACGTCATACGTGTGTCGTGACTCAGTTGGGATTGCTGCCATCATTCTGGTAACGACGTCTCTGACCACCAACACTTCTCTTGCGCCATCGTCAATGCCAAGACCAGCCTCAGCGGCCTTGCGCATGTCGAGGAAATCAAATGTGACCAGATCCCCCCAAACTTTCAGTTCTCGTTGAAAGGCTCCACGTTTGGTGCGGTAATGCTTCATCCTGGCCCGTATGCATGACTTGCAATACGGATTTCGATAACGATGAGTGCACAAATGTGCGAGGGTATTGGCTTCAGCTTTCAAGGTTCCAATCTTCGCCTTTCGTACAGGCGCTCCCTCACCCTCAATCTCAATCTCTCTTTCATCGTCATCGGCGCGATGAATATCTTCACCGATTCTGCCTCCTGGAGAATCCGGTGGTCTTCCTGCTTCTGACTCTGGTACTTCATCCGCAGGTACCTCATGAGGTTCAGATTCAGGTAGTTCAGCATCTCCTGCTTCGATGCCGTCATCATCACGTCGTTCTTCACCTGGCATTGCCATCGCAACGGCAGCTGTCTCGACATTCACATCATGTGCTTCTTTGAGAACTCTGTGCACCGCAGTAGCTTCAGGATCCTCGTGTGCGAGACACTTGCCATTACCGGAACGACAATAATCCCTTCCCCCTAACATTAAATGGTCGGGCCCCCCCCCCCCGCCCAAAATAAAAACTCGAGAATGTTTTTATAATTGGGGGGCTGTTGTTATCTCACATCCTGGTTATACCTAGTTTTACCCCACCCCTGAACCCAGAGACTCCAAAACTTTTGAATTAAGGAATAAATCTTAAAATCATGTTTATGGGGGATGCCACTATATTTTTTGCAATATTCCTTAATTCAAGGGTTTTGGAGTCTCTGGGAAGCTTTAAATGAAATCCACGAGTCACAACAGGTCCAGACACCAAAGCAAGTTGTGTTGGACACATGTAGTCAATGCCAGAAACTTGGACATATGAAATGCTTATAATGACTGCAGTTTTTCCTGATGCCGATGAGCTTGATGAATTTGATGAATGAAGATAAGCTTGATGTTGGGAACCTGCACCAGCGAGGGTTTCGGTGGGTTTGCGCGGTTTTCGGCGGGTTTGGTTGTGCTCTTGGCGGTTTTTGGTCATTTCAATTTTCGATTCTGGATGGGGAAAGGGCCCGAGGGGACACCGCCAGAATTGGGCCTGCGACCTTGCCCAAACCCCCTAGGGAGGCAGCCGCCCGCCCCCAGAACTATCTGGCCATGGCTTAATGGGTAAGTGTCTGGCTCCAAAGCCCTCCTGGCAAAGGTCGCGGGCTCAACCCCCGGGGGTGTCATTTGGGCCCTTTCCCCACCCGGAATCGAGATTTTGGGGTGACCTGAAGCTTAAGAAACGCTATTATAAGGGCTGCAAATCACACCAAATCCGTGC